TTTAGACCCAGATGATGTAGCAGGGGAGGATAAGAGGATAGGAAATTGTGCAGTGCCAATTTTTGAACCCATGGAATTTTGCTGAGTATCAATGTTCATATTTATTTGCATGAAAGAGTATAGGAGATGTGTAATAGAAACTTGAATACATTCACTGCAGAAATTAAATAGGGGTTACTTTTGCAAGATAGAATATAACTGCAAAGCAACTTTACCCCATCATTTTTCAGAAGATTAAATCTATCTGATCTAATATTAAGTTATCTTAAAACAGAGAAATTAGCTCAGGAGTCAATTTTATCACCCCATGATGTTGCATTTGCTGACTCGTATTTTTAATAAAACAGCCAACTATTCATAACTCTTTTCAACTATAGTATTAATTTAAAGATAATTACAATAGCCTTTCCCTTGAATAAATATTAAAATGTGGTAATGTATTGTTTCCAAAAAATTAGTGAAAGCATTCATAGTATCTGATGTTCAAATAACCAAATTATTTTTTATCGGAGAGTAGTCGAACATATATGCTATTTAAAATGCATGGAATAGGGTCGGGCATGGTAGCTCAAGCCTATAATCTCAGCACTTGTGGAGGCCAAGACGAGAGGATTGCCTGAGCCTGGGAGTTCAAGACCAGCCTGGGCAACTTGGCAAGACCTCGTCTCTACAATAAATTAAAAAAGAAAATTCATAGAATTGACCTAGGCTCCATGTGGACATGAATTTGAGGAGAGTAGCAGCAATAAAAAGTTCAGTAGATGAGACTGACATTGTGAATGTGACTGCCAACCCTCACAGTTGTGAAGCAAGTAACTTTGCAGTTGAGTAAAGAATTGCTTAGACTATTCAGCCCTTTCCCCCATTCTCCTACACTCTAAAGTACATTGATATTTTATACCTATCTGTGCTGTACCTCCCGGTCTTTCCTGGATATGGGACCACTTTACTCAAAAAAAAAAAAAAGATTCATTTTCTTCAAACTGAAATTTCAGAGCATAATATTATACTATGTCTTGGCTTCACTGAGTTTTGAACAAAAAGACTTATTTAAGCATGTCTTGTATTTAAGGAAAAGTAACTCGTGTGAATGGAATCAGTCACCTATTAACAGGAAGGGTATTAGAGTGATATAGAGGGATCTGCCCTTAGAAGGGTAATAAATATATTAAATTAAGTAGAACTAATTTGTTGGTGCCATAGAAACACTTCCTTTGAAATTCTGTAATTATGAAATGTCTTCTTAAGCTAAAATTGGTATTTTTTACTTATTAGTTTGGGTATAATATTGGCTTTTGAAGAGAATTCCATTTTTACATTACATTGTTATTTAATCACTAAGCACCATTTCTTTTTTTTTAACTGCATGATGTTACCAACCATTTCTTAATTTTAAAATATTTTTGTTAATTTCTTTTGTGGTTTCAAAATTATTTTTTAAAGTTATCTGACTACTTTAAGCAGTGTGATTTTTAAACATATTTGAACAGTAGATTCAGAGTTTTTTTTAACAGTTTGAAGTACATTATATGACAAACTCAACCTCAGATTCACTTATTAAGCCTAAATTTGGTCATAGACTATAAATTAGGGATATTTTTCCTACTTTGGTGGATAATTCCAATCTATATCCTAAGACAATCAGCTTTTAGGTGTCATATTATTTATTGAGACATTGATAATTTCAAGTTTCAGGTTTTTACTTTTCTCACAGGCTTATGAAATGAAAGTTAATAGGCTGAGTTATATCACTTTCAGATTGAGGTAAGAGTTATGTCTAGCCTTCTTGTAGGTCTGCAGTAAATGATACTTAAATTTTTGTTGTATCACTAATATTCTTTTCTCTTTAGAAGCTGTTATGAATGTCCACTTGTCCATGATTGAAAATTGATATTTGTAAACATTACAATTAACCATCAGTTCTCTCAAACATGAAATTAATGTGTAACCATTATAAAATGTGAAATGATCATATATGATAATCCCAAAGTAAATACTTCCAAATCATAGAGAAATACCACTGTATTAAAAAAAAAAAACACTTTATTCCCACCTCTTTTGCATGCTATTAGTTGCTTTTTAAAAACAATTAAAATTATATATTATGGTAAAAATCTGCAGGAAAATTTGCTTAAATTGTTTTAGCACAATAATAATTTTTATTACTATTTCCTAAAGAATGGTTTTCAAAAAATTGTTTATTATATCATTAAAAAGACCATCTAATGGTTCAGTAAAATAATTTAGAACTTGATTTTTGTGACCTTTTATAGTTATCTGAATTCATTACTTTTGCCACATAGACTCTAGTTCTCCAACTTTTTTTTTGCTTGTTTTTAATAAACCATGCTGTTAAACAATCAGAGAGACCTTTATTTTGGAGGATTCTTCCAGTTGAGGTAGAAAGGTCTTAGATAATAGGAAAGGCGGATACAATGTTCTGACATTTTCATAGTAGAGTTTACAGGTGACATAATTTATCCATATAGGTTATCTTCATTGTGTAGCACCAGTATAAATAGTGATTTCATTAAGCATTGAATCAATGAGGCAGTTATAAATCATTTTTGACTTTGCGCTGAAGATTATTATAATTTCAGGCTACTTTATTATTTTCTCTGAGCAGTTTCCATTGTAAGGTTGAGTTTTCTTTTTTTAATTCAAATCATCACTAAGGCTTAAGATAATCAAATAGGAGTTAAAATAAGTTATGTTTGATCTTTTTCCCCTGAAAATAATGGCTAACCTATTGTCTACATTATGAATATTAGGCGGAAATGCACTTGCTTAAATCATAGCAGTAATTATATTTGGAGGATATAATTACTTGATTTTCTAGTGGTGTGAAATACTTTTTAAAAAAATTGTGCTTGTCTGTAACTAAATTGTTATAGAATTGTAACACTATAGGGATTATAGAGTTATATTTATTAGCTCTCCTCGAGAGATTGAAGCACAATAATTTTCATGTAACAATTCTTATCCAAGTGCTGCTAATCTGTCGTGCAAATAATGAAGCCTATCTAGCTATTCACAAATCACTGTAATCCTTGAAACATAGTCTTGTTGCTCATTTGTATTAAAATTTGGGTATTGTGGGTTAATACTTTAGAGCAAAACCCATGAACTCAGCCCTGTTAGACAGCAAACTGTTTGGATTCATTAGTTTTTATATGTGTTCTCAGTAGAATAAAATTTGAAGGGGCTATTTACTACCAATGATTAAGGGGGGGAATTATATTGTCAGTATCATTTGACTTGAACATTTGTGGTATTGTAAAAGTCTTGTCTGTTGTATTTCTAAATTGCTTAAGCCATACATTCTCTTAAACAGGAATGTTTTTTGTTTTATTCCTTTCCAGCAGCCTTTTCTGCTTTCTCTGTTATGGTTAATACTTCATAGATTTTAGAAATTGAGAAATTCTTGAAATATATTATTTCTTGAGTTCATCACTTTTGACTCTTGTATAATATGTGATTTGTCATAAAAGATAGCAAGCCTTTCACTACTTCACTAGATGAATTTCAGAGTAACACTGTGATTTTGCAGAGTGGATTCAGTAGGCTTTCCGATATTTTCTTCTGTCTTACAGTGCCTATCACCTTGAGGGCACTTAAATACTAGAGGATGGAAAGTTAAATGTTTTGATGTTTATTGAATAACAAGATTACAGAATATTTGATTTTTGTTGTTAGTGTATTAAAAATTTTTTGTATCAATAAATGTTCTTTAGGAATGTGACTACATTCATCAGGTGTGTATTCTTGTAAATGAATTTTGTATCTTGAATTCACATATATATTAAGTGTATCATCGATATAAAAATAAACATTATTTGCTTAAAGTTTTTGGTACTTCTTCAGTGTTGTTGTCTACTTAAGTGCTAAACTCTTAGGGTTTTGCTTCTTTCAGATAGTACCTCAGAGACTTTAAACGATCTTGGGGTTGTGGGTTCCATGCTTATTCTTCTAGTTTGTTAATTTCGTCTAAGTCCCGGTTTTGGTTTTTCCCTGCCCTCCTCCTGGTGGTCAGAACTTGAACACGCGAAGGGAGAGGTTGTTGAAGAATTGGGCGACATCCCCTTACTCTTAGGCTGATTTTGGGTCTAGGGCAGGAACCAGAGTTCTTTTCATGTGGAATGCTCTTGGAATTCAGGAGTCCAGGACTCTGACTTAAGCCACTGATTTACACTCTGGCTTAGAACAAGGCCGTTTTTCCTCGTATTTTTTTCTTCTTCCTACTGCCTGTATCGTTGCAGAATAGTTTGTTTTTTTAAAAGACAGTCTCGCTGGGCAGTTTTTCCTCTTTGGCCTTTGTTCATCTGTTAAAAGAAGCCAGCCCATTCGTGTATTGTGAAGCTAATATAGTGGGCTTCCACCAGCCTATTTTGAAATGAAATGCTAGCCGGGTGTGATGGCACGCACCTGTAATCCCAGCTACTCGGGAGGCTGAGGCTGGAGGATCGCTGAGCCCAAGAGTTGGAGACTGCAGTGAGTTATGATCGCACCACTGCACTCCAGCCTGGGTGACAGAGTGAGGCCCTGTCTCTATATACATACCATACATAAAATAAATGCAATATATGAGTGCGTAATATAACAAGGATGCGCTGGAAAACGTTTCTTTCAACTGTGCTTTATGAGTGTAGGGGGTTGCCATATAAAACGTATAATCTACAGTAGGTCATAAACGCCTACGTTAAAACAGCAGCACAGCACTCGAGGCCCACGGCACCAGTTGGATCCCTTTTCCCCTTGCCACGAAGCTCCTCCCACTTCTCCAGCTCCGCGCACGCCACTGTTTATTTAAAAAAAAAAAAAGGAAAGGCCTCGCGACCCAGTCGTCTTCTGCTGACCGCTCGCTGACGTGGCGAGCCCGCCTGGAGGGTGCGGCCGGCCGGGCGCGTGCGACCGTTCCCGCCCAACAGCCGACCGGTGGCCCGCGCTGCCGCCGTGTAGAGCGCGCGGGAGCGCATGCGCGAGGCAGCTCAACCCCGCGCGCAGCCACTTCCGGCGCACTGGGGGACTTGCGGTTCCGGGTCGCTGCTCGGCTCGCCGGCCGGCTGTGGGGGCCGGTGACGCGGGCCGGCGCTCACGAGAGGCCCCGGAGGCGGGGCTTTGCCGGCTGCCCAGAAGCGGCAGGTGCGCGGGCCCGGACTTCGGGAATGCGAGCAGGCCCCTCTTTCTCACGGTGGCCTTGGTCTGTCCCCAGAGCGGCCCAAGCAAGGTTGCCCACTACCCAAGGCGTGGGGGGGCGGCACCAGGGTGCTGAAAGGGCGACAGTAGGGGCGGAGGCGGGCTGCCATCTGGGAATCTGGAACCTGGGGTTCCGGGATCCCTCCCTGCGCGACCTTGGGCAAGTCACAGTTGCCGTGCTGTCAAATGGGAGCGTTGTTGGGTCCTTCCTTTCTTTGTCAGTCCAAGCACGGACGGGGCTGAAGGGCGCCTGAGGGAGCGAGATCCAAACTGCCCCGGCAGGTACCGCCTCCCTTGGCGTTGGGCATCTGTCTTCACCCAACTTTGCCTTCATTTTTCTCAGCGACTGTCTGAGTGCAAGTCAAGGCGCCGTGACCACACAGCCCAGGGTCTGGCCAGGTAAAGAGTGTGTGAATGTGAGAATCAGCTGAGAAATACTGGCCCCAGGGAAACCTGTATCTCATTCAAATTGTTTTGCTCAGGGTCCTCAAGGAGAAGTGAATTTAGACACTTACTGCAGTGAGTGAGTCTATTCTTTGTGCCTGTAAGTGACGCTCTTAAGCAGACCACAAATTCATAGGAGAAATTCCCAGGGTTAGGAAGAGTTGCGCACCGAAAGTTGTTATAGTAACAGATTTTCTTCCCTCCTCCACCCCTTAATCTTTCCTTCCTCCCTCCTCCACTTCTCTCCCCCCCACCAACCCAACATTTTGGCCTTACACTTGAAAAGAAATTTCCAACACATTTTATCTTTGTCTTCACGCAGGACAGAATGCTTTGACCTCCAAGCTGTTTTAAATCTAGTAGATAAGCCAGGTGAGTAAGCGGTTTACAGATATTGAAAGTAAAGTTTTTAAAGAATCGTTCAGACTTAATGGATGATCTGAATTGATCAGAAGTCATTTGTAGATCTTACAGCAAAACTTGGATATCCGTCACAAAACATGGAAAGTTAGGGTTGGAACCAGAATATTAGTGTTTCATACACCATTGGGAGGAAAAAGGTGTTTTGACTCTTGTGTTGAATATCATGTCAACCATTCTGAAGAAAAGAAATTGTGATTTGAGATAATTTTACCAAATTCAAAAGCATGCAGCATCTCCAGGAAAAGTTTATCTGACACCTATACCATGTAGTTGTCTGACTTGCCTGCTTTTTTTCTATGTTACCAGCTTTTTCTAGGGAACTGCTGAATTGCAAACCATCCTGGAATATTAGAATATTACACCTTTCCCCATATTGAGTTACATATGTTTATGCCTTCAACTTAAAAACAAACAACAACAACAACAATATGCTAAACCCTAGTTAAATTTATTGGGGGAAGGTTTTGAAAGCATTGCATCATGATTATATTATGTTAATATTTGCCCTGGGAAATTTTACCAAATGTGTTATATGCTGTAGCCAACCAGGCATAATTTAAAAAATAGACTGGGCGCAGTGGCTCAGCCTGTAATCCCAGCATTTTGGGAGGCAGAGGCGAGTGGATTGCCTGAGGCTGCGAGTTCGAGACCAGCCCGGGCAACCTGGCGAGACCTCATCTCTACAATAAATAAAAAAAAATTAGTCAAGTGCAGTAGCACAGTAGTTCCAGGTACTTGGAAGGGTAAGGCAGAAGGATCACCGGAGCCCAGTGGCTCAATGCTGAGGTGTCCATGAGTGTGCCAAGGCACTCCAGTCTGGGCGATCGAGTGAGACACCAACTCAAAAAACCCAAACGGGATTTGTGAATCAGAGTTTGGTGTTCAAATACTAGCCCTGCCACTTAGGCACATAATCTTACAGGTTACTTCACCTCCTTAAAGAATTTCTTCATCTGTATGTGCATATGAAGCACCTGAGTGCTTTTTAAATGTTTAGTAATTGTGTTCTATTAAGTGCACGTGTAAGTTATGAAACTTAATTTTGAAACCTAAAGCTTAACAAAGCAACTCATATGTGAAATCTTTCCTCTCTTTCATCTGATTTATAGATACTGAATTGCCATAAGCGCTTGGCTTACAGTTAAGTGGGAATGCAGCTAGCCTGGATGTCTGAAACTTTTTAGGCACCTGGGTCTGAATCCCAGTCACCGGTCTGGGGACTACTGAGAGCTGGTCATCCCTACAGGATAGCTACAAAGCAAAAATGTTTGCAAAACTAAAGAAAAAAATTGCTGAAGAGACTGCTGTGGCTCAGAGGCCAGGAGGTGCCACTAGGATCCCACGGTCGGTGAGCAAGGAATCAGTTGCCTCAATGGGAGCTGACTCAGGAGATGACTTTGTAAGTATCTTTATTTTTTAAATAATTTTGCAGTGAATCCTTCCAATAAATATTTTGAATCACGTGACTAGTTCATACTTTTTTGTAGTTTATAGTTGTATAAGACCCTGTATATCTGACTCTTCTTACTCTGAGATGCCCTTTTGTTAATTTTTTGTTTATTTTTTTATTATTTATTTATTTATTTGTGGTTTAGGATTTACTAGGGATCTGGCAGTCCTAGGGCTGGCACTACACTGGGTGAGCACAGCCTGCCCACCAGTCAGTACTGGTTTTTCATGCAGTGCTGGGACGCCTTGGGGCTGACTTCCACAGGAGAGGGGCTCAAGTTGGGCCTCTCAAAGCAGACACGAACATTCACAGGTCATAAGGTCAGGTTGGCCTTGGTGCAGAAAAGGGAACATTGAGAACTTTTTTTTTTTTTTGCTTAAGGACTGGGGAGCCTGAGGTTTTAACAGGCCTGATAGCACAGGAACTTGGGGGAAGTAAAAGAGGTCACTAAGGCCTTGGGGATGAAATAGGAATGAAAAGGAGGAGAAAGAACCCAGATGGTAGCTCCAGGGGTGCAGAGTGTCCAGCTATCCTCCAGGGCCTCAGGGAGCAGGCTCGGTAATGTCCTCACTCCCATCTTCTAGCCTTACCAGGCTCTATTTGTTGCCCCAGATGGCCACCTTTGTATACAGAGGCGTTGGGAGGAAACGGCTGAACTTCATGTAGGCAGAGATTTTCTTTAAGCCCTCAAATCAGTACATGAAATCCTTCAGGTCTGGAAATGCATCTAAACACTTCGGCTCAAATATACAGTGCAGGTCAAGGATATCGTAAGCGAGGAAATCCACAAAGGTGATCTTGTCCTCTGCAAACCCTGACTACTTCCCTAAGAACTGTGAGAAGAACCTCATCATGTCAGGGAGACCCCTCCAGGTACTCTGCTTTCAGTTTTTCAAAATCAGGGCTATAGCAGACTCTGGCCAGCTGATTAGAGACGTCCATAGCCTGGTTCTCCAAAATGTCCACTCGAATCTTCTCCTCTTCTGTCTCCCCACACGTTGTGTTTGAGGGCAATGTAGCGCAGGATGGTGTTGCTCTGGGTGAGCTTGTGAGCCCCATCGATTAGGTAGGGCAGATTGGGAAAGTCCAGGCCCAGCTTGAATTTTTCATTCAGCTACTGGCTTTTGTCATAGTCAGGAGCATCCCCCATGGTGTACTTCTTTTCCTCATAGCTTGAGTCTGTGTATTCCAGGAGCAGGCGGATGGCGTAGGCCAGCCCATGGATGTCCCAGTATCCCAGTGTCATTGGCATGGTGCTGCTGCTGCTGTGGACTCAGCAGCTGGGTCTCAGGGGGACTGGGCTGTGACTTCTAACAATTTTTGGTTTATTGATGTTAAGGTACTCTAACTTTTTTCTTTTTCTCCTGTGAGTGCCTTGTCATATTCTGTATATTGTCCTCTTGTACTTTTTTTAAAAATCGATTTATCTTGCCTGGGCAACTTGGCGAGACCTCATCTCTACAATAAATCAAAAATTAGCCAGGCGTGGTAGCGCATGCCTGTAGTTCCAGCTATTTGGAAGGCTGAGGCAGAAGGATCGCCGGAGGCTAGCAGATCGAATCTGCGGTGGCTGAGAGCGTCCACTGCACTCCACTCTGGGTGACAGAGTGAGACTCTAACTCAAAAAATATATATATATATATATTTATTAGTTTGTTTGTTTATATACTTATATATTAAAAATATATATATATTTATCTTGTACATCTTCTTTTACATTTTGTCTCCCACAATGTCTGGGCCTGTTTTCTCTACAGACCTATAGATGTATACTTTAAGTCATTGTTGCTTAACAAGTTCTGTGAGTTGTGTGGGGTTAGCTGAAATCTGTTTTATTGTGAAGGTTGATGGAAAGATGGCACGAGTGACTATAGTGTGTCCCTTATTTGTAAAGTACCATAGTGATTGGTAAGATTCCAAAAATGAGAACGTTGCTATATTAGGAAATGTCATGCTTAAGGATTAAGGTGTGTCTTTGGCATATGACAGGATCCTCTTAAGTTGGATGCATTTCTTTAAAAATGATTTATGATCCCACGCCTTGGGAGGCTGAGGTGAGTGGATTGCCTGAGCCCGCGGGTTCGAGACCCGCCTGGGCAACTTGGCGAGACCTCATCTCTACAAACAATCAAAAATTAGCCGGGTGTGGTAGCGTGCGCCTGTAGTTCAAGCTACTTGGAAGGCTGAAGTGGAAGGATTGCTGGAACCTAGCAGGTCGAGGCTGTGGTGGCCAGGAGTGACCACTGCACTCCAGTCTGGGTGACAGAGTGAGACTCCAACTCAAAAAAAAAATTATTTATGATGCTTGATATCTATAAAAGAATGTGTAATATATACAAGATGGACCCTCCAAAAAATGAAATTATCTTTTGGAAGACAGACCTCTGTAGTATACATGGAATTAGTTCCTCCAGATCAAACAGTTAGTCTGGACGTTTTGAGAAGGTAGTGTCACAATTTGTGGACAGACTATCCCAAGTTGTAGCAAACAGGTGACTGGCTGGTTCTTTCACCTTGACAACGCACCTACCTACACCATGCTGAGTGTTCAGTAGTTTTTAACCAAAAACAGCATGACCTCTGTATCTTACCCTCCCTATTCACCTGATCTCACCTTCAGCACCTTTTTTTGTTTGTTTGTTTCCCTTGATGAAAAAAGTCCCCAAAGGGAAATGTTTTGCCAGTGTGAAAGAGGTAAAATAAAAAACAGCAGAAGCACTAAAAGGCATCAAAATTGACGAGTTCAAAAACTGTTTTGAGCAGTGGAAAAAGCACCTCAATAGGGGTATTGCATCAAACAGAAAAGTACTTTGAAGGTGACTGAAGTTTATATTTTATTTTATTTATTTATTTTAAGTCAGAGTCTCACTCGTGACATACCTATGGGCTCTGCAACCTCAATCTGCTGGACTCAGGCAATCCTTCCACATCAGCCTTCTAAGTAGCTGAAACTACAGGTGTGTGCCACCACACCTAGCTTATTTTTTTATTTATTGTGGCGATGAGATCCTGCAATGTTGGCCCAGGCTGGTTTCAAACCCCAGAGCTCAGGCAATCCTCTTGCCTCTGCCTCCCAAAGTGCTGAGATTATAGGCATGAGTCTCTGTGTCCGGCTAAAGTTTAAACCTGTAAGAATAAGTACACAGTTTTTTGTTTTTTGGTTTTTTTTTTTTTGAGTTGGAGTCTCACTCTGTCGCCTAGACTAGAGTGCAGTGGCCGACCACCGCAGCCTTGACCAGCTGGGCTCCGGCTATCCTTCCACCTCAGCCTTCCAAGTAGCCGGAATTACAGGCACGCGCTACCACGCCCGGCTGATTTTTTGATTTATTGTAGAGATGAGGTCTCGCTGCCCAGGCGGGTCTCGAACCCGCGGGCTCAGGCATTCCACTCACCTCAGCCTCCCAAAGGCGCGGGATTACAGGCTGAGCCACCGAGCCCAGCTAGTACACAGTTTTTTAATAAATAAATTCCATTTTGGGGGGGAATATTTATACTCATATGCGAAGTATAAACCATAAAGTAAATATATTACCTATCCAAAGAAATAGAACATTGTCAGTACTGTTGAAACCACTTATGTGTTCTTCCTCATCCCTCTGCCTACTCCACATAACCCTCTAATAAATTTTGTTTTTAATTCTCTTTTTAAAATATCTTACCAGATATGTATGTGTTCATAAACAATTATTGTTTGATACAGCTTATTTTTGAACTTACAAAAATGATATACAATAGATTTCTTGGATTTCCTTTTTTTTTTTTTTTTTAACAACATGTTTCTAAAATGCATCTGTGTTACATAAAGCTGTGGGTCATTTATTTTTCCAGCACTTGAAAAGCTATAATTTATCTTTGTTTTCTCCTGGTGATAGACATTTGTGTTATTTCCGTGGTCAGATGAGTCTTCTGCCTCCTTTCGTATACTACTTGAATTCCAGGTCAGATTACATGACAGAAGCCATGGGTTATTGGGGTGGACCAATAAGATTACCACATCTAAATTACCATTGGTTCATATATTTAGCTGGAAATATAAGTGTACATTTGAACACCAGGCTGAAGGATTTGACTTTAATGCTGACATCTGCAGTAGAAGGACCGGCTTTGCCTTCAGGCTCACATAACAAATGAAGCATTTCATCTAGAATGTATTCCAGATATAGAGATTGACCTGAATTCAGGACATACTTTACTTTGAGGCTTCTCAAGTAATCTATTTGAATTTACTACAGCCTGATCCTCACTATCTCCAGGCCCTTCATATCCAACTGCATATATTTCTCCAAACAGGTGTCTTCCCTATGCCATCTGAAATTCTAAATGAACAAAACTGAATTCACTAATTCCATCTCCAAATGTGCATCCAAGTCACAAACTAGAAACCTTGGAGGCATTTTAGATTCTTCCTCTCCTTTCACTTCTTGGTGTCCAGTTGGTCAATATGTATTGCGGCTTTCATTTCTTAATTATCTCTCAAATTGCCTTTCTACTCCATCTTCTAGTAGTATGTTTACTAGTACACGTTGAGCATCCCTAATCTAAAATTTTGAAATCCGAAATGCTTCAAAATCCAAAACTTTTTTGGTCATCAACATGATACCACAAGTGGAAAATTCCACACTTAACACAAACTTTGTTTCATACACAAAATTGTTTTAAAATTAAGATTACCATTCGCGACCCACCTGGGCAACTTGGTGAGACCTTATCTCTACAATAAACCAAAAAATTAGCCAGGTGTGGTAGTGTGCGCCTGTAGTTCCAGCTACTTTGAAGGCTGAGGCAGAAGGATCGCCGAAGCCCAGCAGGTCGAGGCTGCGGTGGCCGGGAGCGGCCTCTGCACTCCAGTCTGGGCGACAGAGTGAGACTCCAACTCAAAAAAAAAAAAAAAAAAAAATTAAGATTACCTGCAGGCTATGTGTATAAACTGTATATGAAACATGAATGTATTTCATGTTTAGACGTGGGTCCCATCCCTAAATTATCTCATGATGTACATACAGATATTCCAAAATCCAAATAAGACTTCTGGTTCCAAGCATTTTGAGTAAGGGATACTTAACATATACTTTCATTTTATTTCAGGCTGCCTTTCTTTCTTGGACAAACTTAGTAGCCTACCTGGGCTTCCTTCCACAAAGTGATCTTTCTTTTTTTTTTTTTTGAGTTGGAGTCTCACTCTGTTGCCCAGACTGGAGTGCAGTGGCTGCTGCTGGCCACCGCAGCCTCAACCTGCTGGGCTCCAGTGATCCTTCCGCCTCAGCCTTCCAAGTAGCTGGAACTACAGGCACATGCTACCACGCCCGGCTAATTTTTTTTTTAATTTATTGTAGAGATGAGGTCTCGCCAAGTTGTCCAGGCGGGTCTCGAACCCGTGGGCTCAGGTAATTCACTCACCTCAGCCTCTCAAAGGCACGGGATTACAGGCTGAGCTACCGAGCCCGGCACAAAGTGATCTTACTAAAAGCAGATTGGTTTGGGCCTCTTCAATACTTAAAACGCAGTGACTTTTCGAATCTTCAGGATGAAGTGCAATCTCATTTCTACCATAATGGTCTTGTCACAGCTTACCTGCCCAGCTCATCTTACTTTACTTTCCTATATACTGTGCTACAGCCAGGTTGAATTTATTGCACTTCCTGGAACGGACCACATCCTTTCATGCCTAAAGATGTTTGCATATACTGTTTCCTCTCTCTAGAATGTCTTCTGTCTCCTCTTTTCACTCCTGCATTCCTCTGACAGATTTTTTTTTTTTTTTGAGTTCGAGTCTCACTCTCACCCAGGCTGGAGGGCAGGGGCATACGCTCCCGGTCACTGCAGACTCAACCTGCTGGGCTCCAGCAATCCTTCTGCCTCAGCCTTCCAAGTAGTTGGAACTACAGGTGCATGCTACCACGCCCAGCTAATTTTTGATTTATTGTAGAGATGAGGTCTCGCCAGGTTGCCGGGTGGATCTCGAACCCATGGGTTCAAGCAATCCTCTTCACTCGGCCTCCCAGTGTGCTGGGATTACAGGCTGAGCCACTGAGCCTGACCTCTGACAGACTCTTGTTTATCCTTCAAGACTCAGTTCACATGTTACTTCCAGGAAGCCTCCACTGACCTGTCCTGCCCCTGTTGTAGCACTCTGCCCTGTACTCTTCCTGTCTGTTAGGTACCTTATCTTCTCCTCACCTGTGTAATAGTACCTGTTATACTGTATTATTATTGGTGACTTGCTTATTTGTCTCTTCCACTAAGCTGCAAGCTTCAGGGAAGGCAATAAAGTGTATAGCCCTTAAAAACTCAGATCAGGTTATAGAGTCAAACCTGGATTGAATTCCCTGCTCTATCATTATTGTGTGATTTGGGACAAGTTTCTTGACTTTTCTGTGCCTTATTTTTCACATCTGCTAAATGGGAATAGAAACTGTATGTATCTTTATAAAAGTATCTGTGTCAGATAGCCCCAAGATCACCCTCAGGTTTGATTAATCACAGAACTCAGCATATAGTTTTACTTACTGCTATTATTTATTACAGTGAAAGGATGCAAAGTATAGTCAACAAAGGGAAAAGGTGCATGGAGAAAAGATTGAAGGAAACCAGGTGTAAGCATCGAGAGTCCTCTCCCAGTGGAGTTATATAGGACATACTTAATTCCTTTAGCAGTGAACTATGGCAGCACATATAAAATGCCTACCAAGAAAACTCATTAAAGATTCAGTGTCTAGGATTTTCACTGGTAGTTGATCATGTAGATACCCTCTGCCTAGTATGTATTAAAAGTCATATGAAAGTAGGTGTTCAGCATAAACCATTATTTGCAACTAACAATTTAGGCACAGTGAGCCATTCTTTTCAAGAATGGTAAGAACCCTCCCAAAATCTAAATTCCCTGGTGCCAGCCAAGGACCAACCTTATAAGCAGGACTTTCTAAAGATGGTAGTCTCAGGCTTGCAATATTGACTCTCTTGTGCATAGTATATAAAGCACTTAGTTAGCATAGTGCCTGGCTCTTAGTAAGCATTTCATAATCAGTTGCTACTGTTTTAAGTAGTCACTCTTTGTCCGCTACTATTCCTAGTACTTAGCACAATGCTGAAACCTAGGATGTGTCACTAACAGTAATAATCATAACAACACACTGCTAGCACTGTGGTCTGAATGTTTGTGTCTGCCAAAAATTCATATGTTGAAACCTAATCACCAGTGTGATGATATTAGGAGGTAAAGCCTCTGAGAGATAATTAGCTCATGAGAAGCCTTCACGAGTGGGATTATTGCCCTTATAAAAGAGGCTCTAGCTGGGCTCGGTGGCTCAGCCTGTAATCCTGCACTTTGGGAGGCCGAGGTGAGTGGATTGTTCGAGACCCGCCTGGACAACTTGGCGAGACCTCATCTCTACAATAAATCAAAAAATTAGCCGGGTGTGGTAGCATGCACCTGTAGTTCCAGCTACTTGGAAGGCTGAGCTAAAGGATCGCCGGAGCCCAGCAGGTCGAGGCTGCAGTGGCCGGGAGCGTGCCACTGCACTCCAGTCTGGGCAACAGAGTGAGACTCCAACTCTTGAAAAAAAAAATATATATATAGCAATCCTCCCTCCTCAGCCTTCCCAAATAGCTGGGGCTACAGGCACAAGCCACTGCAACCAGCTGATTTTTAGAAATGTTTATAAAACTATTTAGAATGAAATGTCATGATATCTGTTATTTAAATTACTTCAGCAAAATAAAAATTGATGAAGCAAATATGGGAAAACATAAATAATTGTTAGGGTAGATGGAGAATGTTCACTAAACCAATCTCCTTTTTCTGTATTTTGAAAAGTTGTATAATCAAAAGTTAAAATTTTTTTAATGAGTTATTTATTAGCAATAGCTAGCAGTACCCAAAATAATAGCAGTACTCATGTTTTAAAATAATCTGGTTTGTTGAGGAAAATGTATCTCGTTAATATATTGATTTATCGAATGCATATAATCTGCTAAAGTCTATGATACAATTGAGAGCTTTAGATTGATATTCCTTTATCTTATAGATGTGGATACTAAAACTTTATCAATATCAGTGAAAGATATTTTAGGCATAGACCAGCCTTTGGCCCCTTGTTAAAGAACCCTCCTCCCTTTATCCCAGGACTTTATCTTTGGAAAGATAAGGTAATTTCTTTTTTATGCTGCAAATTTATTTTTTGAATTATGCATTTGTGTAATATAATGAATTTGTTTACTACCATTTATTTCAGTAGCATGTACACAAACACACAATTTATCTGTTTAGCATCTCATCTCTCCCTGTAATAAGAGGGAGATAGTGTCACTTCCACTTTCCAGGTAGAGAGGCTAGGGTTCAGTTATGTTAAGAAGCTTTTCAGTGATTACAATTAACTAAACTGTAACTGATCCTAAAAGCGTTGTCACTTTCTAGCTCAGTACTGTGGTCTCAGCACTGTTGAAAATTCACCTATGAGTACAACTCTCCTTGTATCTGTCTCAACAGGCTTCTGATGGAAGCAGCTCCAGAGAAGATCTTTCATCCCAGCTTTTGAGAAGGAATGAACAGATACGGAAGTTAGAGGCCAGACTTTCTGGTATGTCTAAGAATTTATAAAAAGCAAGCAGAAAACTTACCTTGCCTGACCATCTCTCCCTATAAAATAGCCATATGAGATAACTTTTTAGTTATTTTGACATATTTTGATCTTCTTAGTCAGAAAGAAACCCCTTTGTTCCCTTTTTTTTTTTTTAATTGTACTGAATGGCGTAAATCCAAAACCGAATTGGCTGTTTATTTTTTTTAAGTGTATGTTTTTCTGCTCCTGAGGTTTCTAGCCATGGTTATATAACATATTAAAAGGATACATAGAATAGATTTGACCATCTTCCACCATTAGCATAGCTTACTTTCAAAGATGGCAAGTAGTAGGAGCTAATATTTATAGGGAATGGCCATCAGATGTTGGACTTATCAGCATCAGAGAGGATTTGGTGCTGTGTTGCCACTTGTTGCAGCTCATAATCACCTGTGTAAGTGTTGTTCTAGGTATTTGGGTAATAGTATTTCTAACTTCAACACGTGTATAGAAGGTGTAACTCTTGGCCAGGTGCAGTGGCTCACGCCTATAATTGCAGCACTTTAGGAGGCCAAGGTGAGAGAATTTCCTGAGCCCACGGGTTCGAGACCAGCCTGGGCAACTTGGCAAGCCCTCATCTCTATAATAAATCAAAAAATTAGCTGGGCGTGATGGGGTATGCCTGTAGTTCCAGCTACTTAGAAGGCTGAGACGAAAGGATCACCTGAGTCTCTAGCAGGGTGAGGCAGTGGTAGATGAGCGTGCCACTACTGTACTCCAGCCTGGATGACAGAGTGAGACTCCAACTCAAAAAAAAAAAAAAAAAAAAAAAAAAAGAAGGTGTAGCTCTTATTATGTCTTTTGTGTGCAGTTTGCAATTTATACAACTCCCATTATATCCTTTACCTCAGCAGGGCAAGTTCATGATAGAATTGTGGGTTCTTATTTTGGTTTCTGCCAGTGGATACATTTTGAAAGCTTCATTCTGTGAAGTGGTCCATGGCTTCTGTGTCTCTTTTTGTCCTTTGGCCTTGTATCCATTTTATTGGAGTGAAAGCAGCAGACCAAAATATACCAAATTATATGTGAAATATTTGTATTTGTGTAGGTATCAAAGGTTAATAGCATAGCTCACAACTACCAGTTAATCATTTTGTCTGCACTACAGCCCTATTAGGCATAGCAAGATTAAAGTCACACAAATAGTAAGTGGTAGAGCTGGGATCCATACCCAGATTTGCTCGATGCTAGAGTCCATATTCTTAATTACAGTCTGCTTGAAACTCAGTGGTTACTCTCCTATTACTCCCACCCATAAATAATATCAGTAATGGAGGTGAATAACTTTACATTTATTTAATGTTGGGTAGATAGTTATAAAATAATATGAGCCAGGCTCGGTGGCTCAACCTGTAATCCCGCGCTTTGGGAGACTGAGGTGAGTGGATTGCCTGAGCCTGCAGGTTTGAGACCCGCCTGGGCAACTTGGCGAGACCTCATCTCTACAGTAAATTAAAAATAAATTAGCCAGGCGTGGTAGCGCATGCCTGCAGTTCCAGCTACTTGGAAGGCTGAGATGGAAGGATCGTTGGAGCCTAGCAGTTCGAGGCTACGGTGGCCGGGAGCATGCCACTGCACTCCAGCCTGGGCGACAGAGTGAGACTCCAACTCAAAAAATAATAATAATAACAATAACAATAATAATATATACCATCCCTAATATAGAAGGAAGAATAGTTGGACTTGACTTACATTAGAGAAGGGACAGGGAAAATAGCTGACATTTATTGGGCCTACTAATCTCCTGAATATTGTCCAAAAGCCTTAGTATGAATAATAATGATAGCAATAATAGCAGCTACCTTTATTGAACAGTGTATGAAGTACTTAAGGCATGCAAAATACTTTATTATCTGATACATCCTTTAAGGTAGGTATAATTAATATCATTATTTAATATATGAAAAAACTAATACTCAGGATTAATAATTTGTTTAGGGTCCCCAGCTGAAGACTGACAGAATTGGGATTTGAACTTCTATCTGCTTTTTCACTATACCGTACTATCTTCTTTGGCCACCTATGTAATTAATTCTGACTTTTACCTTTATATGGCATAGGTAAATCAGTTACTGTGTAGAAAAACAGCTTACTTTTCTAGAAAATTAAGTACTTCCACTTTAAAGACAATACTATGCTAAGGTGTTAGTTATTGCCCTAACCACTGTTGACTCAGTTGTGTGGACCTCAAACAAGTTGTTTAGTAAGTTCCCTTTGATCTGTCCTACTGCTAAGGCTGAAAGGGAACATGAAAACTGAGATTTGAAATTAAGTCATTAGATAATACTGTTTTCCAGACATCTGAGCATTTCTAATGACCAGGCCAAAGCCTAATTCTTATTCTCTTTCAAGGCTAAAGATATCTGCCTGTTTGTATTCACCATTTATATCATGGGTAGTTTGTACTATACCTGTTTGCCTGTGTTGTTCATTGTTAACAGGAGGCTGTCTGCATAGTTTTCCTTAACAGGAATGGTTTTCAAGTTGAGAAAATCATCGTTATTTTCACTCATTTTTTTGTTTAATTAACTGCCTTTCCTGATGTTTGTCCATTCCTGGTATGTGCATCACCCTCCTCATCCAAGACTATGCTGAACAGGTCCGAAACTTGCAGAAGATAAAAGAGAAGCTTGAAATTGCCTTAGAAAAACACCAAGATTGTACGTATTTTTTTTTTTCCTGCTTTTTTTCAATCTTTTCAGGGTTTAGTTTTTTGAAATGAGACAATAGTGTATGGTTAAGCTTGTCCTTCATGAGAGCTCAAATCTTTATTTTATAGTTAGTGTATTTCTTCATCAAGTTGATATAATATTTGATATTTATAAGTATATAACTTATATTTATGTTGCCTTATGGGCACGCTTCTTAGGAGGAGGTCATTATGTGTATCAGCTTGTCTCTCCACTTGATTCATTTATGGCTGCCCTTAGGTTTTAAAAAAATCTAGTACTTATTCATTGGGTCTAGATTAGGAGACTGTTTCTAGCCATAGCTTCAACACTTCTGTGTTGAGTAACTGAGAGAAATATCTGTCATCACTCCCCCAACAATAGAACATACATTTTGTTTAGTCTACCCTAAATCATATGTTCTCCTGGGTGCCATCCAAGAGAGATGCTAACAGAAGTAGAAAGTTATTTTTTTGTTGATGTATGCTAAAAAAATATTTTAAGGAAAATGAAGTGAAAAGTTTTTTTGTGTTTGTGTTGCTTTTGTTTGATCTTTGTTTTTAATTCTGATAAAGTAGTATTAGCCATTACTTAGCAACAGCATTAGTATTTTCTGGCAGACTACCTAACTCAGTGTTCTATCATTGTAGTGTTTAAAAAGTTACCTTTGGCATCTTCTTAAATGTATATACTTGACTATTACAAAAAACAAAAACAACAAGGAAACAGACAAAACCTATTGCTAAGTCGAAAAGTTCTTCTGGGAAGTTTAGATAGATCAGACTTTTCCCAGTTCTATAATCCACTTATATGACCTTGGCCTTTTTCATTAGGTAACAATTGTAAAGTAATCACGTAGGCTATTTGTTTTACTGTTTCTGAAGTATTTTCATATCTCAAATAGAGCCTCTCTGTTAACAGCTTCCATGCGGAAATTTCAAGAGCAGAATGAGACATTCCAAGCCAACAGAGCCAAAATGGCAGAAGGACTGGCTTTGGCATTAGCCAGAAAGGACCAGGTATTTTATACGTGGCACTGCCCAAAACTGGTGGAAAGATTTCACTTAGTGACATGATTTCAAAAATCATGACATAAACCTTTAGAAAATGTTCACAACCTAGGAGAAAAGGAATACTATAAGTTCTTTAAAGTTTTATTTGGCCTTTTCTTGTAAAGTCAAGAAACTTTACAGTTTTAATTGTGAAGTGTTTCCAGAATGTGAGAGCATCATTCCCTGTATCTGTGTAGCTTTGTAAAATTGAGAAAGAAAATGAAATAGAGTATCCATAATCTGGTGTGTTGAGCCCCCAATATAAGGAAAAACATCTCTGCCTTTTAAAAACCTGCCTCAAAGCCTAGCTCCAAAACACTTGCCTTTACAGGGGAACAGATGCTGTCAAGCTACCATAATCCATAATGTACATAGTTCTTTCCACCTCTGTTCCCTTTTCTTTAACCCCAGCCAGCTGGACAGAGTGGAAATCCTATAATCTCAGCAGAACTATCCACTGAAAGATGCTGAATGAGTGACCACAAGAAAGGAAAATAATACTATTACTGGCTATTAATAATTATGAAGTATATTTTTTCAGTATAATCAATGGCATTTTAATTTACAATAAGCATCAATATAATACAATGATAATCCTGATTTATTTAACTATGGTCAGTTTATTATGTTTCATTTAAGAAAATGTATAATTTATTTCATCTACAGTAGAGGTGGTTGGTTGATTTGTTTTAAAGTTTCTTTTCATCATCTAGGACATTTACTAGTCAGAAAAAACATCATTCACCAATACTCAGTGGATAAGTATGGTATGAATGTATTAAGTGAAGAAATAATCTAAATTTGATGGATTCTGATGGCAGGCAATCCGGATATGGCCTTTTGTACCAATGTTTTTTCCTTCCATTATTTTATGGTTTGTGAATAAGGGGCATAATGTCTTTTCCTTTGACTTATACCAGATGGCATAAAGTATGTTGGTAAAATCAAGATGAGAAGGAAAATAATTATCAGAGACTGCTGAAGGTTCCCCTCACCCCCACTTTCAGTAAATTAATTTCTAAACATCAATTGCAGAGTTACCCAACTCAGCTACCCACCCCCAAGAAATAGTAACAGTATTCATGGGAAAACTCCCAGAAGTAAGCTGAAAAGTTGCAAAAGAACCACAGATCCAGCTTTGTTTTGGTGCCCAACTTAGTAAAAATCTTTAGGCTTATATTTGTATTCTAGATTTTTACATGAGGTTCATTTTCCTCTCCTTTCAGGACTCTCACCTTTCTTAGTATTAAGCCAAGATCATGGGTGTTTTTGGTTGTTTTTTTTTTTACTTTGTGTCTTTATTTTATTTGTTTGGCTATGCTTTTGGGGAGAGTTGGGCTGTTTTGTTTTCTGAAAATCTTGGTATTACAGATACTCTTCCCTGGAAACTATACTCTTTATTGTTTTATTTTAGGAATGGTCAGAAAAGGTGGATCAGCTTGAAAAGGTTAGTTTATTTTTATCTCATTATTCATATTGATCTCATCTCTGGGGTTTGGAAAATATTTTATCCAGTAACCAATGTTACTGATTGCTATACAATTTCTTGGAAGCAGAGCACTGTATGATTAAACACTGACTTGGAAAGCACACATCTTCCCCTCTCTTGGTGAGTGTGCTGGGTATCTTTTGTTTGTCCCTCCTGATATACTCTCCACTCCTTTCATTCCTTTCCCTGTGTACCTGAAGGATGATAGGGACTGTATTAGCAGGACTCAAAATGCCATGTGGCTTCTGGTTGGGTTCAGCCAGTGGGGAACACTGAAAGAATCATGTGTAGAAGAGTATGGTAAGGATGTTTATTCCCTCATCTTTTTTCCTGTGGAGTCCTTTTGGGTAAGTTCCATCCCATGGTCAAAAGTCACAGATTCAGTTGAAACTTTGATATGCTCTGTTGATATAATTTCTTTCTCTCTGGGTTTCTTGTAACTTCTTCATCCTTTGCCCCTTTCTGCCCAACTGTTACTAGCATATGATATTTTGGGCTGTCTTACACATCCTACAGCTTTGATAAGCTTCTTTATTAAACCATCCTCAAAATACCTAATTTGAGTCTACCTGTTCCAGGGTTCCTTCTGGGATCCTGATTTACACTGTTGTGGCATTAGGAATACTTCATGATGAAACGTGGGGAAGTAGGGCATTTTCCAAGGTACAGCATTGAGCAGATGAGAGAACCCCTTGGCTAAGAGACAGATGAGGAAAATGTATTATTCTAGTACCATAGCTTGCATAACACTGTGTAGGTGCCTTAAGTAATATATTTCTGGCTCCCACATATGAACAAGAAGATGAAATTTCAAGCCTATAGTTGAAGAAACATTTTAGTTTAAAAATAATCAATAGAGTCAACTGTCTCAGTCTCAATTATATGCTGCTGCCTAATTTATTTCTTGTTTTCATTGAGTACTTCTAAATATTCTGTCCCCCCCTCCCCTTTTTTTTTTTTGAGTTTGGGTCTCACTCTATCACCCAGACTGGAATGTGAAATGCAGTTGCACGGTCAGGACTCACCACAGCATCGACCCTCTGCGCTCAGGCGATTTTTCCACCCTAGTCTCTCAAGTAACTGGGACTACAGGCATGCACCACCATGCCAAGCTAATTTTTTTATTTTTTGTAGAGATGAGGTCTTGCTATATTACTTAAGTGGGTCTTGAACTCCTGGGCTCATACAGTCTTCCTCCCTTGACCTCCCAAAGTGCTAGGATTACAGGCGTGAGGCACCGTGCCCTGCCTAATTTTATTAAACAGATGACCTTTATTACTGCTCCATTCTTTCCATAAAACAGCAAGTTAAACTAGCTATTTTCTTTGTGTTCTGTAAAAATCTGATTACCAAGCTAACAGACTATGTTAACACTTTTATATAAGAAAAGAATTACAGAAAATTCAAGTCTGAAAGAAACTTGCACTCGGAAAAAAAAAATCCCCAAACATATTATGTTAATGATGGTCTTCTTAAATATGAAGGTGTTGATTAGGTTAAGGTTTTCTTGTCATAGAAGAAACTTAAGATTATGGCAGTTGAGACTTTCACTGAACTGTTTTGCCTTTTAAAATTATGGTAAAAGGTATCCCTACAGGACTAAACCAAATAAAACCTACTTCTGTTTACTAAGAGTATTTTCTCTTTCTTTTTTTTTTTTTTTTTTTTTTTTTTTTTTTGAGTAGGAGTCTCACTTTGTTGCCCAGGCTGCAGTGCAGTGACATGCTCATGGCCACCACAGCCTCTGCCCACTGGGCTCAAGCGATCCTTCTGCCTCAGCCTTCCAAGTAACTGGAATTACAGGTGCGCACCACCACACCTGGCTTAGTTTTATATTTATTGTAGAGACAAGGTCTTACCAAGTTGCCCAGGCTGGTCTTGAACCGGACTCAGGCAGTCATCTCACCTACACCTCTCAAAGTTCTGGAATTATAGGCATGAGCCACCACGCCTGGCTGTTTGGTTTTTTCAAAGGAAGGATTGGGGAACTATATTAGACCAGGAAAGAGTAAGGAGATATCCATATAGGTCTTTGAAGCCACTTGGATTTTTACAGATGTTATTTTATTTTCAGTCAAGAATTAGAAACTTAAGCAGCAGGGTTAGTCCTTAACATAATCCATTTTGGCCAGGCTCAGTGGCTCAGCCTGTAATCCCAGCACTTTGAGAGGCCAAGGCGAGAGGATTGCCTGAGCCCGCTGGTTTGTGACCCGCCTGGGCAACTTGGTAAGACCTCGTCTCTACAATAAAATCACAAAAACTAGCCAGACTTGGTGGCACGCCTCTGTAGTTCCAGCTACTTGGAAGGCTGAGGCAGAAGGATAGCCTAAGACCAGTAGGTCAAGACTGCAGTGGCCGTGAGTGTGCCACTGCACTCCAGCCTGGGTGACAGACAAGAGTGAGACTCCAACTCAAAAAATAAAAAATAAAAAAAAGATAATCCATCTCCAGAAGCTGTCATTTAGTAAATTGTAACCTGATGACACCAGTGATACTTAATTTTTTTTTCTTACTAACTACAATCAGTTCTGCATTTAATCTACATTCATTTTATTTTTGTGGGGCATTCAGTCTTACTCTATTTATTCATGTTTTTCAGCCAGTTCAATGTGTCACTAAGAATAGACATGTAAAATGTATATCAGGACTTACTAAGCAGGTGTAAGAATTTTAAAGTTTTACATAATTGTTTCTACTATTTCCATATTCACAGTTATTTAATGCACATTAATTTTAACCTAAAGAATTTGTAAATAATGCCATATTGGTCATATTACTGTAATACTCCCCATTATCAATGTATTATTTTCTGTTGGCATGAGATTTCCTAAAGATTTTCCTTTATTAAGAATTTTACTTTCATAATATAGATTTCTAATGTTTTAGTTGCCTAAGTTGGTGTCTTCTTCTTCCAAATAGGAGAAAAGTTTTCTGACAGCTCAGTTACAGGAAATGAAGAACCAGAGTTTGAATCTTTTCCAAAGGAGAGATGAAATGGATGAATTAGAGGGGTTCCAGCAGCAGGAACTAAGTAAAGTAAAGCACATGGTATGCATTTTAATTTTAGTAGCTAAATACTGAATAGATGATTATTTACTCTGATTCTGCTAGTCATCACTCTAATTGTTGATAAACATACACTTGGTAGTATTTGATATTAATCATACTTGTATGTTTTTAAATTTTTCAAAATGGGAAAGTTCTGTTTAAAATGTATTTTCTAGGCCGGGCTCAGTGGCTCAGCCTGTAATCCCAGCACTTTGGGAGGCCGAGGTGAGTGGATTGCCTGAGCCCGGGTTCGAGACCTGCTTGGGCAACTTGGTGAGACCTCATCTCCACCATAAATCAAAAATAGCAGGGCATGGTAGTGCACGCCTGTAGTTCCAGCTACTTGGAAGGCTGAGGCGGAAGGATCACCAGAGCTCAGCAGGTCGAGGCTGCGGTGGCCGGGAGTGGCCATTGCATTCCAGTCTAGGTGACAGAGTGAGACTCCAACTCAAAAGAATAAATAAATAAAATGTATTTTCTTCTTCTGTTTATGTTGTTTTGTTTTGTTTTTTACTACTGGACATATAAACCCCCCCCCCTTTTTTTTAATGAGTCAGAGTCTCACTCTGTGCCCAGGCTGGAGTGCAGTGGCACACTCACAGTCACCACAGCCTCAACCTGCTGGGCTCAGGTGATCCTGCCACCTCAGCGTTCCAAGTAGCTGGGACCACAGGCACACGCCACCATGCCCAACTAATTTTTAGATTTCTTGTAGAGATGAGGTCTTGCCAAGTTGCCCAGGCTGGTCTTGAACCCATGGGTTTAGGCAGTCCTCTCACCTCAGCCTCCTAAAGTGCTGGGATTATAGGTGAGAGCCACTGTGCCTGGCAAATTCCCTTTTAAGCCCATAAAAATGTTATAAAAGTCTGGCTGTTTGGTCCAGATTTTTATTTTTAAGAGAATCAGGCAGGTGCGGTGACTCAAACCTGTAATCCCAGCGCTTTGGGAGGCTGAGGTGAGAGAATTGCCTAAGCCCAGGAGTTCGAAACCAGCCTGGGCAACTTGGCATGACCTTGTCTCTACAGTAAATCAAAAAAATTAGCCAGGTGTGGTAGCATGTGCCTTTAGTTCCAGCCACTTAGAAGGCTGAGGCAGAGGGATCAAAGGGCTGGGATTACAGACTTGAGCTACCGCACTTGTCCCAGATGTTTTTTAAGATGTATATCTTAGCAATAGCCCAATGAAACTTTATATCTTTATGCTAGCTTTTAAAAAAAGAAGAAAGCCTAGGGAAAATGGAGCAAGAACTGGAGGCCCGAACCAGAGAACTTAGTCACACCCAGGAGGAGTTGATGACCTCCAATCAGATGTCATCAGATTTAAACCAGAAGCTAGAAGAATTGCAGAGACACTACTCAACGCTGGAAGAGCAGAGGTTCTTGCTTGGTCTGTGGGTCCCCTAGGAAGAGGTGTTAGTGTAGCTCTGGCTATAGCCCACCCATCTGTCCCCATTGTTCATTTGGACGCTTCTGATTCCAGTGCTAGCAATGGCTTTAAAATATGTCCCACCCCACCCCTAACGTTCTCTCCCATTCACCTGCCAAGGCTCAGAACAGTTCCAACCCTGCTGAACAATTCTGTATGCTTTTCAGTTTGTACACTATTCAGCAAGCAAAGGCAAATCAGGATTTCTTGCTTAAATATGGGCAAACTTTTTCTCTTTGGGCTTCTGCTTCAGGGAGAGCCCAGGAGTCTTTTTTTGTTTGATAGCCTTCATGTGGCTAATAATGCTTGCCGTCCTGACATAGAAGGAACTATTTGTGTTTTTCCTGTGGAAGAATCTGTCTTAGACAAGATATCCAAATTTGTTCATTGTCTACTTTCTTTTGATGAAGAGATCATGTGATAGCTTCCAAAAGAGATGCAGAAAATAAGATTACAGCCCTGGAACAAAAGGAACAAGAGCTTCAGGCACGCATTCAGCAGCTTTCCATTGATTTGCAAATGGTAAGTAGAAGATAAGGAGTGAACCTGATGAATTCTGTCAGAAGTTTCTGTGTTGGGGTGTCTACTGAAAAGTGTGTTTCTCACATAGTTCACATTGCCTATTTCCTGATCTAGCCAGGCTACACTTAGATGGAAATGGCCACACAGCTGAACAAGAGTTACTTAACAGGGCCAGGCATGGTGGCTCACTCCTATAATCCTAGCACTTTGGGAGGCCTTGGTGAGAGGATTGCCTGAGCCCATAGGTTCAAGACCAGCCTAGGGCACTTGGTGAGACCTCATCTCTACTATAAATCAAAAAAAAAAGAAAAGGAAATTAGCTGAGCATCCAACTAAGTGGGAGGCTGAGGTGGAAGGGTCACCTGAGCCTAGCAGGTTGAGGCTGTGGACCGTAGATGGACCTTGATCATAAAAATACATAACAGTAGTTGTTGACATGGCCAGAGTTGTACCTTTGGCATACTTGGCTCTGATCCATTTTGTTCTTTGACACATCATCAAATGATATAATTACAGTTTGTTTTTTCATTTGGTTGACTGACATGTATTGTCCTCCTACACTAGGACTGTACTAAATTTTGAGAATATAAAGATGAACAGTGATAATATTTTTTAATATAATTTCTCAGTGATATGTTTTTTACTGGCATTTTTAGTAGAGCAATTTGTATTGTATGATTGTCCCTTGCATTGCAGAACATGTAGCTTTCCTGGCTTCTGGGTTCTGAATGCCAGTAGCATCTTTTAGTCATAGACAGTTCAGCCCTTCCATTCATATGACAGAAGACCCCGTCAGGCAGTACTATCCATCCTACCCTCATCTTTTGAGAAATGCTAATCACAAGTGAGGTAGGGCTTTACAATATAATTACAGTACAGTTAGATTTGTGTAAAGATACGTCTGTATATTCCCTCTAGCTAACTATTATCATATTTACAGATACCCAAATGGAAACTAAGAGGTTATATACCTTGTTCAAAGTTATACAGTAAGTGACAAAACCAGATTCTAACCCAAGTCTTACTCCAAAACTTATGCTTTTTCTACTTTGTTTTGTTGCCTCACAATGAGGAGCACCAGTAAATACATCTTACTTGAACAGATGACTGTCATACAAGGTCCCTACCTCAATGAACTTAAAATCTAGACATATATATTGTTTTCCCTCAGAGACTTACAGTTTCATTATAGAACTCAAATTTCCTATAACCACCAGAAAGAAATTAAAAAACAAAAAGTTCAAAATAAGGGAACTAGACTATTCAGATGCAAAAGATATGCCACAGGGGAAATAAATTTCCGGCCAAGAAGTTGAGGAAATCTTCCTGGAGGTACTGGAATGTCAAGGATGAGTAGGACAGCAGGAGGCAGAGAAGGCAGAAGGGAAAGAGTACATTTGAGGTAGTAGAGGGAGGGGAGTATTAGATGTACAACTTTGGGATCTGAGGGACCCTTTGATGTCAGTTAGAGCCATCCATTCTTTTTATCATTGGGAAAAAGGGGCTCGAGAAGTCCAGACTGTGGTCACAGTAAGTTTTCTCATTCATTCTGAAATATTAATTGAGCCTTACTATGTGATAGGCTCTTTGCTGGGTGTTAGAAACAGCAGTGAGCCTATCACAGATAGGCTCACATGATGAGCAAAGCAGATACTACTCTTGTCACATAGTAATGCTTATAGTCTAGAGAGGAAATCAGACATTAATCAATAATGCACATAAATACATACTTATTAACTGTGATGAGTGCAAGAAAACTACAAGATACTGTAAGATCCTATTAAAGGATATCAGATCAGATCTAGTCTTGGGGTCTTAGAATATATCACTTAAGGAAGTAAGACTTGATGAGACTGAAGGAGAAGGGGTAATGGGAGAGAATTTCAAGCAGAGAACAGCATGAACAAAAACCCTGAGCCAAATAAAAGGATTAGCACATTCAATGGACTTAGAAGAAAACCAGAAGAATGACATAGAATAAAGAAGGATCAATTACTCTGGCTTTTAGGAGGAAGCACATTGAAAGAGTCTTCCAGTTAGGAAACTTTTGCAGTTGTCAAACCATAAGTTGATGGTAGCTTTGACAAGAGTCATGGTAAAGATAATAGGTGGTAGACAAATATAAGAAATATTGAGGAGGCTGACAAACTTGCTAATGTAACACACGGGAGGAGAACAAGAGAAAAGGAATATTAGGAATGATTTCTGGGTTTCTGGTTTGAGCAACTAAGTGGCTAGTATTGTCAATCATTGGGCTCAGAGAGCAATACAGAAAGGGCAGTTTTAGTGTGAAGATTGTGAAATTTCTTTGTTGTCCTTATTAATATTGAATAGATGTAATATTTATAAAGTATGAGTAACATGGAAAGTATAAGAGGACAATGATCCCTGATGTAGCTATCCCTTAGGTTAAGAAAAAGAACAGTAGGTTAATCTTTGAGATTCCCCATGTGCTCCTCACTATTCCATCCCATTCCTTTTCCCTTTGGAAGTAAGCACCATCCAGAAGTCATTCTACTTCCTACTTTTCTTTATAATTTTGGTACATCTTATCCTTAAACAGTTTCTCTTTTAGTTTCTCATGCTTGTTAATGTTATATAAATGAAATCATGCTGTAGCTATTCTTCTAACTTGCTTTTTTGCAACATTGTATTCAACATTGTATTCCTAAAAAACATTTATATGACACAGCTATAATTTGTTTTTTTCTCAACTGTATAGTATGGACATAGCAAAATTTATTTGTTCTAATGACAATGGACATTAGGGTTGTATCTGATCTTTGACTATTACAAATAACACTGTTGGGAACATATGTCTACTTGTGCAAGAGTTACTCTAGGCTATATATGAGATTTTAAAAGTGTAGGTACATTTACAACTTCATTAGATAGTACCTAGTTTTTTTTCCATAGTAGTTATAATAATTTATATACTCCCACCAGCAATGATAAGTGTTTGGTTTGTTTTGCTTCATTGCTAACATGAGATATTGTCAAATCTTTAATTTTTACTTGTCTGGTAAGTATAAAACATCTCACTATTATTTTAATTTGATTTCTCCATGTTAATAGTGAGGTTGAGCATTTTGTCATATGTTTATTGGTCATTCATGCTCCTCTGTGAAGTGCTAGCTCAGAAATTTTGTCTATTTTTCTATTGTTTTCTGTCGTTTTCTCATTGATTGCAGGAATTTTTAATTTATATCATAGCTATCATGATCCTTTGTAAATTATATGGGTTGCAAATATCTTGTTCCAGTTTTTGGCTGGTCTTTGTACTCTTCTTTTTTTGAGTTGGAGTCTCACTCTGTCGCTCTGACTGGCACGCTTCCGGCTACTGCAGCCTCGACCTGCTGGGCTCCAGCGATCCTTCCGCCTCAGCCTTCCAAGTAGCTGGAACTACAGGCGCGCACTACCATGCCCGGCTAATTTTTTTTTGTTTTGTCATAAAGATGAGGTCTCGAACCCGCGGGCTCAGGCAATTCACTCACCTCAGCCTCCCAAAGGCATGGGATTACAGGCTGAGCCACGAAGCCCAGCTGGTCTTTGTACTCTTTATGGTATCATCTGATGAACATATTGTCTTCAGTTTTGTTTTGTTTTGTTTTTAGACAGGGGTCTGTTGCCCAAGCTGAAATGCAGTGGTACAATCACAGCTCACTGTAACCTCGAATTCCTGGGCTCTAGTGATCTTCCCGCCTCAGCCTCCACAGTAGCTAGGATTACAGGTGTACCACACCAGGCTAATTTCTAAAAATTTTTTGTAGAAATGACATCTTGTTATGTTGCTCAGACTGATCTTCAACTCCTAGTCTCAAGCAGTCTTCCGGCCTCAGCCTCCGAACATGCTGGGATTATACTTTTGAACCACCATACCCAGCCTTCTCTTTTCTTTTTTTTTCTTTTATTATTAATTTTTTTTTTAGTCAGTCTTACTCTGTTGCCAGGGCTGGAGTGCAATGGCACAGTCACGGCCACCACAGCCTTGACCTACTGGGCTGAAGTGATCCTTCCACCTCAGCCTTCCAAGTAACTGGAATTATAGTGCACACCACCATGCCCGGCTAATTTTTTTTTTTTTTTTTGTAGAGATGAGGTCTCACAAAGTTGCCCAGGCTGATCTTGAACCCCTGGGCTCAGGCAGTCCTCTTGCCTCCACCTCCCAAAGTGCTGGGATTACAGGCGTGAGCTACCACGCCTGTCTTCTTTTCTCTTTTTAAAGAAATCTCTCCTTCTCCTGGATCACAATGCTATTCTCCCATATTATTATCTGAATATTTTATAGTTTTGTCTTTTATAATCAAGACTTTACTATGCCTAAAGTGTGATCTTGGTGTGAGAATGGGATCTATAACCTATTTTTCAAAATTTTTTGATAACAGTTATTGAAAATTTTTTTTATTGTGACTCAATGGATAATAAATGTTTGAATTTACTGTTGTGTTCCCTTGATCTATATGTCTGCGCTTATGCTGTTACCACACTATCTTGATCATTTTTTTTTTTTTTTTGGAATTGGGATCTCACTCTATCGCCTGCACTAAAGTGCAGTGGCAGGATCATGGCTCACTGCAGCCTTGACCTCCTGGGCTCAGGCTTCCATCTCAGCCTCCCAGGTAGCTAGGACTACATGTATGTGCCATCATACCTGGCTAATTTTTTGATTTTGTGTAGAGACGAGGTCTTGCTGTGTTGCCAAGGCTGGTCTCAAACTCCTGGACTCAGGCAATCCTCTCCTCTCCCCTCCACCTTCCAAAGTACAGGGATTCTAGGCATGAGCCACCACATCCAGACCAACCATATATATGTGTGTACACACACACACACACACACACACACACACACATACATATATATATAAAGTGCTGGGATTATAGGCGTGAGCCACCACACCCAGACCAACCATCAACCATATATATGTTTTTGTTTTTATATATATATATATATATATATATATTTTTTTTTTTTTTTTTTTTTTTTTTCTTTCTTTCTTTTCTTGAGTCAGAATCTCTGTTGCCCAGGCTGGAGTGCAGTGGTATTGTCACAGCTCACCACAGCCTCAAACTTCTAGGTTCAAGCAATCCTTCCACCTTAGCCTTCCTACTAGCAGCATCTGCAGATGTGCACCCACCACACCTGGCTAATTTTTTTAGTTTTTGTAGAGATGAGATCTCACTATGTTGCCCAGGCTGGTCTTAAACACCTGGGCTCAAGCAATCTTTCTGCCTTGGCATCCCAAAGAGCTGATATTACAGGCATGAACCACCATATCTGGCCTTCAACCTTGTAATTTTATAGATTACCAAATTTGGCTTTCATATATTTTTGTTTAGAATTTTTACTTTTATATTCATGAATGTTTTGTTATTAGATTATAGTATCATGATTATATTAGTCACAAAGAAGGATGGGCATTTTCTCTCCTTTTCTATACTATGCAACAGTTTGAATATGGTTATAATGATTGAGTTCTTGAATGTCTGCTAGAACTTTCCATAAAACCATTTAGATTTCATATTATCTTTGTGTGAAGATTATACTTCATAGATTTTTTTAATGGTAATAGAATTATTGTAATTTTACATCTTTCTTCCTAAATCAGTTTTGTTAATTCCTATTTTTCTACATAATTGTTCATTTGCTATATGTTCAATATTTTTGGCATTCTTTATATTCTTTTTAATCACTGTTCTGTCTTCATTTTTAGTATTTGTACATTTTCTGTTTTTTTCTTGTTCATTCTTGCTAGATGTCTACCAGTTGGGGAACAAAATTTTACTTCAGTTCTTTCCATTGTGTTTATATTTAACCCATGATGTTTATAACTATATATTTTTTACTCTATTAGATAGCATTTCCTCAACTGCAGCCATTAATTTTTCACTTCCCATTTTATGCTTTTTCCAACCTTTATTGAAATTAACATAATATTTTTACAGAATTCATCTCACTTGTTTTTTACTTAAATGAATACATTTATAACGAAGAATGAAAACGGTGTGTTGGAAGAACTGAAAGGATAGTAGCTAAGTGACTGGAGCTCAGAGAAGTGGAAGTGGGGCTAGGTAAGGCTAGAAAGGTATATAGAAGCCAGTTTGTGTAGAGTAAATAGTGAAAGTAAAACCCATAGATATTCATTAATGGATATTTAATAAGAATAGCTAGTCTGGGCTTGGTGGCTCAGCCTGTAATCCCGTGCTTTGGGAGACTGAGGTGAGTGAATTGCCTGAGCCCGCGGGTTCGAGACCTGCCTGGGCAACTTGGTGAGACCTCATCTTTACAATAAATCAAAAAAATTAGCTGGGCGTGGTAGCACACGCCTGTAGTTCCAGCTACTTGGATGGCTGAGGTGGAAGGATCACCGGAGCCCAGGAGGTCGAGGCTGCAGTGGCCGGGAGTGGCCACTGCACTCCAGTCTGGGCAACTGAGTGAGACTCCAACTCAAAAAAAAAAAAGAATAGCTAGACAGTTACTCTATGCTCAGTATTCAAGTGCTTTACATACAGGGACTCATCAAATTTTCACAGCTACCCTTTGGTGAGATATTGTTTTCCCATTATACAGATGATAGAAATAAGCATCTGAGATCTGAGAGGCTAAATGATTTGTCCAAGATAACACAGCTGGAGTAAATGACAGAGCCAGGATTCAGAGTCTATCTGGATCAAATATCCACATACCCAGTCTTGATGTAGTCTGTATCCTAGCTGTAACTGTGAAGCCCAGATTTGGCTAGGTGAACAAGGTGAGAACGGGCATCCTCTGTGGATGCAGGGACCACTAGGGATCTAATAGCTTATGTACTCATAGCTTCCTGGATCCTCTGCTTTGACATTGAGCAGCATCTGAATGAAGATTGGTAGTAGTGAAAGGAACCAAGTAGTCAAAACCTGCCACCCACCACCACTACCATCATTGCTAAAGAGATGGACTAAAATAGTGGGCAGTTGCTGATCTGGGGCCAAGGCATAAGAGCACAGCAGCTCTACTGTGTCCCTGTGCTATTAGCCAGGGTGAATAGCATCATTTCAAAAGTTCTCACTTCAGTCTTAAAGCAGCTCCATTGGCATTGTTACGACTTCATTCAGCCTCTCAGCTTCCAGGAGCATTGTTCTGTAGGTCATTGCAAGGCAGATTGGGAGCTTCTTGGGTGAGATAGCTTTGCTACCTCTACCAGGTAGGTAATGGCTTTGTTCCTTTCTAGACTGTCAGTTGCTTGAATTGGGGAGAGTATTTGCCTCTTGCTATACTATGTCTGAACTGGATCCCTGAGTGTCACTGGGTTCTGATCTTGCATCTTCTGTGTCCCATTTTCAGAGAAGATTTCCTGGCTATGTGTTCTTCTAGGATGCATTTGAGAACAGAACTTCAGGGAACTGTGATAGCCCAAGAGGAGGCAGGAAGGAAAAGGGGAAGGCTTATAATATAATGAGATCTCTACTTTAACCTGCAGGTCACTGCTGAAACTCAACATAAGGGAAAAGCTATCACACATTTGCAAGAGAAGGTCACATCCTTAGAGAAGAGACTAGAGCAGAACTTATCAGGAGAAGAACACCTGCAAGAACTCCTGAAAGAGGTAACTTTGGCTCTTCATGCCACCTGGTGTTGGAAAGGCAAGGGTGACTCTGATGCTTTCATAAATCCAAGCATTTCAGAGCTGGAGGGCCAGCAAGCAGTGTGGTGAGAAGAGAGGTATCTTCAACTTTGAGTTGCCCTTCATACGTCAGTAACAGCCTTATGTTCCCTGTGTATGATGTGCTTTTCTCAGGGAAAGATAGAAACTTGTTCGCAGATAGGTATGAATAGATAGCATCCTCATCACCAGTAAACCATACCTAGTGATTTCCACCACTTGTTTTACCACACTGTCCCTTTCCCTACTGGCCCATTGGCCAAGGAAAATAAATATAATCTGCCCCTTGGCATGAACAGGAATTACCTTGGGCAGTGTTCTCTCCTTAGCTGAGGGAGGCTATTGAGCAGACTGGCCTCTTGCCTAGTAGTGTAGGTGAGTTTTCTCAGGTCTGAGTTCACGGCCCACATTCTGCTCCTCCTTTTATTTGTATCCCAGTGATTGGTCTCACCATGATTGAGACGACAAAGCCAAGGTATTGGAGCTTATCCTAGATTAGTACCTCACTATCTGTCTTCTGTCCGTTTCTACTAAATACTGTATCTTTTCTGCCACTGCTGTACTTCAGGGTTTCTAGCACCTCTAGCCTTGTCTATGTTAGCAATCTCCAGACTGGCTTACCCAGAATCAGTCTCTCCCTCTGACACTCTTCCACACATACTACCAAACTGCTCTTCCTAAACAGCATTTATGACTGTATGATTTCCTTAAATGTCTTCCACAGTTCCCCTAAATAATCTACAGTAAGTATAATGTGGGTTCTGGATATAAATTGATTTCTAGAATCAGACTGCCTATGTTTGTATCTTGCCTCTTCTACTTACTAACTTGTGACTTAGAGCAAGTAACTTAATCTCTGTGTTTTCCTCCCCTATAAAATTGATTTTGTTATAGTATCAAATTCAGAATTATTTTTTTTTGTTTTTTGTTTTTTTGTTTTTTGAGTTGGAGTCTCACTCTGTCGCCCAGACTGGAGTGCAGTGGCCGCTCCCGGCCACCGTAGCCTCGACCTGCTGGGTTCCGGCAATCCTTCCACCTCAGCCTTCCAAGGAGCTGGAATTACAGGCATGCGCTACCACGCCCGGCTGATTTTTTAATTTATTATAGAGATGAGGTCTCGCTCCCCAGGCGGGTCTCGAACCCGCGGGCTCAGGCAATCCACTCACTTCAGCCTCCCAAAGGCGCGGGATTACAGGCTGAGCCACCGAGCCCGGCTCAGAATTGTTGTTAGAATTAAATAAGTCACGTTAAGGCTGGGCCTGGTGGCTCATGCCTATAATCCCAGCACTTTGAAAGGCCGAGGTAAGAGGATTGCCTGAGCCCACAGCTTTGAGACCAGCCTGGGCAACTAGGTGAGACCTTATCTCTACAATAAATCAAAAAATTAGCTGGGCATGGTGGTGCATGCCTGTAGTTCCAGCTACTTGGAAGGCTGAGGTGGAAGGATCACCTGAGCCCAGCAGGTCAAGGCTGTGGTGGTCACGAGTGTGTCACTGTACTCCAGCCTGGGCAACAGAGTGAGACTCCAACTCAAAAAAATAAAAAAATAAAAAATAAGTCACAATTTGTGAAGTGCCTAGAACGATGATTGGAATGTTGTATGTCAGCTGTTAATATTATAATCATATTATTATGTCATCCTCATTATTATAAAGTTTAGTATGTATAGGAGTTACTTGGAAAGTTTCTTTAAAATTTTTGGTTTTGTTTGTTTTTTATAGAGACAAGGTCTTGCTATGTTGCCCAGGCTGGTCTTGAACTCCTGAGCTCAAACAATCCTCCCACCTTGCCTTCCCAAAGTGCTGGGATTACAGGTGTGAGCCATTGTACCTATAGATCTCTGGCCCTACCCCCAAAATTCTTACTTCAATCGGCGTAAAGTAAGGCCTCAAATTTAACAACCACCCCAGCTAGGTCTAATGCCAGGGTTTAGAACACCCACTTTGAAAAATGCCTACAGAATCAAGTTCAGGCTCCTTTTTGCAGCATTAAAAAAACCTCTCAAGCCAAGCTTGGTGGTTCAGCTTGTAATTCTGCGCCTTTGGGAGGCTGAGGTGAGTGGATTGCCTGAGCCCGTGGGTTAAAGACCTGCCTGGGCAGCGAGACCTCATCTCTAAAATAAATCAAGAAAATCAGCCGGGTATGGTAGAGCATGCCTGTAATTCTGGCTACTTAGAAGGCCGAGGTGGAAGGATCGCCAGAGCCCAGCAGGTCAAGGCTGCAGTGGCCGAGAGCGGCCACCGCACTCCAGTCTGGGCGACAGAGTGAGACTCCAACTCAAAAAAAAAAAAAAAAAAAAAAAAAAATACCTCTCATGATCTGGCCCTTTTGCCTAGCTTTCTGGTCTTGTTTCTTAACCTAAATCCATTATTGTTTTAGCTTCTGAGAAGTTGTAGTTCCCTGAATGTAGCAGGCTGTTCACATCTCCATTAGTCATCCCTTTGCTTAGGGTGCTCCCCGAGCCCTTGGCCACCTATAAATTATGAAGCCAACCATCACTCTATGCTCCCTCTTTGTGAGTACTTATTGCACTCTATTGTGTAGTTTTTGTTCCAGCCTTAAGGTCAAAGGAGTGTGTCAAAATTTATCTGTGTGTACTTTCTCTGAATTATATCTCAGCTGGGTTTTTAAAATGTATTTGTGTCCCTTTGCCGGTACAAATCATAGTATGTTGTAGATGTCAGCAAGTATTTATTTAATGGAGGAGTGACTATTTTCTTTTACTCTTTTTTCAAATTACAGAAAACAGTTGCTGAGCAGAATTTGGAGGATACTAGACAGCAGCTCTTGGCAGCCAGAAGCAGCCAGGCCAAGGCCACTGATGCGCTAGAGACTCGGGTACTGACCTTGCTCTTGGTCTTTCCTAAGTGTGAGTGATAACCTGGCTGAGAATCCCCTTGGTCAGAGATTTTTCATTAGAAGGGACTTTTTTTTTTAAAGAAAGGATCTCACTCTGTGTCCCAGGTAGGAGTACAATGGCACAATTATGGCTCACTGCAGCCTCAGCCTCCAGGGCTCAGGTGATCCTTCCACTTCACCTCGCAAGTAGTTGGAACTACAGGCGCACGCCACCACATCCAGCTGATTTTTTTTTTTTTTTAGAGATGTGATCTTGCTATGTGACCGGCTGTTCTCAAACATCTGGGCTAAAGCAATCCTCCTACCTCAGCCTCCCAAAGTGCTGGAGTTACAGGAATAAGCCACTGTGTTCGGCCTGTTCTTTTGATCTTAGATAAATAAGTTAATCATTTCTTCATTCTTGCCGTATTATCATCATTGGGTTCCACAGAGAGTTGTTCTCATGTTGATTTAATCCCTTTTATTCCTATTGGCCTCTCTCCCATAGAAAACCATTCTCAGCCTGTAATTCCGTGCCTTTGGGAGGCTGAGGTGAGTGGATTGCCTGAGCCCGCAGGTTCAAGACCCGCCTGGGCAGCGAGACCTCATCTCTACAATAAATCAAAAGTCAGCCGGGTGTGGTAGCGCATGCCTGTAATTCCGGCTACTCGGAAGGCTGAGGCGGAAGGATCGCCGGAGCCCAGCAGGTCAAAGCTGCGGTGGCCGGGAGCGGCCACTGCACTCCAGTCTGGGTGACAGAGTTGACACTCCAACTCAAAAAAAGAAAAAGAAAAAGAAAACCATTCCAACGTGGCTAATATTGATCCTTTTATTGTTGGGCTGTCTTAAAATGGGTGGCATTGTTTTATATGCATGTGTTTTTAACTTATGTAAGTGATGCAGCTATGGATATGTCTTCTGTTATCTTCAGCTGCCCAGCTTTTATATGTATCCACTTCACTGGACTTAACCTATTCTGCTTTATAGTTTTCTATATAGTAGACATCCAGATTGCCTTCTTTCTGACACCTCAGATTACACTGCAATAAACAGCCTTGTCCCTGTCTGTTTAAGGATGATAGAAAATGCATATAACCTAAAGTGACTAAGTAGAACAAGATTGGTCCCAGAAAGCCTGCACCTGTCTCTCCTCCTCCAGCATACATGAGGGTTTCTATATTTGCATCTCTGCCTTTTCCAGCATTGGCATTTCTTAACCTTTTAAATTTTTGCTAGTTTAATGAGTGTGAAGTGATATTTCATTGCTTTAATTAGCATTGCTATGGTTATTAATGGGTTTGACGATGTCTTAATGTGCCTGTTAGTCTTTGGTGTTTCTGCTTTTGAAATTGCCCATTCATATTTTTTGCTTGTTTTTTTTTTTTGAGTTGGAGTCTCACTCACTTGCCCAGGCTGGAGTGCAGTGGCACGCTCCTGGCCACCGCAGCCTCGACCTGCTGGGCTCCAGCAATCCTTCCACCTTAATCTTCCAAGTAGCCAGAACTAGAGGCATATGCTACCATGCCCGGCTAATTTTTTATTTATTGTAGAGACGAGGTCTCACCAAGTTGCCCGGGTGGGTCTTGAACCCGCGGGCTCAGGCAATCCACTCGCCTCGGTCTCCCAAAGTGCTGGAATTACACGCTGAGCCATGGAGCCGGCCTTTGCTTGTTTTTCTTTGGAAGTTTCAGACTTTTCTTATTTGGTTTGTAGGATTTCATTGTGTATCTTTTTCCTAATACTTCGTCAGTTTCAGCCCTGAGCCAATCTTAACTTTGCCATGTATCCTTTGTTGAACAAAAATTCTTAAGCTTTCATTTATTTATATCCTGCAGTGCTTTTTTTTTTTTTTTTTGAATTGGAGTTTCACTCCATCGCCCAGACTATAGAGTGCAGTGACCGCTCCTGGCCACTGCAGCCTCAACCTGCTGGGCTCCGGCAGTCCTTCTGCTTCAGCCTTCCGAGTAGCCAGAATTACAGGTGCGTGCTACCATGCCCAGCTGATTTTTTATTTATTGTAGAGATGAGGTCTAGCCAAGTTGCCCAGGCAGGTCTCAAACCCGCGGGCTCAGGCAGTCCACTCACCTCAGCCTCCCAAGGCATGGGATTACAGGCTGAGCCACCGAGCCCGGCTTTTTTGTTTGTTTGTTTGTTTGAGTCGGGATTTCACTCTGACTCCTGGGCTGGAGTGCAGTGGTACCACAGCCTCAACCTGCTGGGCTCAGGCAATTCTTCTGCCTCAGCCTTCCAAGTAGCTGGAACTATAGGCAAGTGCCACTACACACTGCTAATTTTTTTATTTATTATAGAGACAAGATCTCCCCAAGTTGCCCAGGCGCAGCAGTGCTATCTTAAAGTTTGATGTTTTCAGATCCATCAGGTTTTGCTGTGGGATTTGAACTCTGTTTAAGAAATCCATTCCTAGCTGGGCTTGGTGGCTCAAC